CGGCGGCGTTGGCACGAGGGGGATGGGGGAGAGGTACAACAGAGCGCGGAGCACCCTTCGCACGCTGTAGCGGCACAACCACACTTCGCCACATCGATTTTACCGGCTCGCTTGCACTCACACTCGGTCGACCCGTTCACTGAAGGAATGTCTCATATGCCTCCCTCTGCCTCCTCTCCCACCCTCCCCCCTTGCCCCGTCGTATTCCCTCCTCCTTCAAACCCCCGTACCCCCGGCTCTGCCGCTTCGTGCACCCCCCGCGAATCCTGTCTCCGTCACTCACTCATGCCGGTTCTCTTTCTATCTTATCCCGTCGTCCATCCCTCTCCACCCAAGCTCGCCAACGTCTGCCTCCCCCCCTTTCTCGCCCTCTTTCTCTCGCCACTATCTCTTTCCGGCTATGTCCGTCTGTCTTTCTCTCTCGCTCGCTCGTTCGTTCGTTCGTTCGTTCGTTCGTGCACGTTCAACCAAAGGTCTCTCTCTTTCTCTCTCCTCTCTCTTTCCCTCTCGTCTCTGTTGTGTGATCGCAGGGCGGTAGCGGCAGCGCGCGGGGAAGTGGAGAGGGAGGTTGCACCTTTTGCCGCATCTCGGAATCTCGCGCGTTGCTCATTTGCCGTACATAGAGAAGAGCGAGGAAGACGGACAGAGCAGCGGAGTGGAAGGACGGGGGGAGGAAAGAGAGAGCGAGAGAGAGAGAGAAACCTCCGGGCTAGGTGGTAGTAGTAGTAATAGTAGTAGTAGTATGCGAGAGCGGCGGCACGGTGGTCGGACAGTTCCAGTTCCGTTTCGATTAGGTGAGTCCACACGCGTCGGGTTTTTGGCTCGCCCTCTCGTACGTAACGTTGTTGTAATCTCGCGGCAACGAGAGAGAGAGAGAGAGAGAGAACGAAAAAGAACGAGCAGCTTGTGTGCTTACGTACGCGTGATGTCGTTTGTCGTGTTCATTGATGGCACTCGTTGCCGTCATCGTTATCACTATCGTCGTCGCCGTTGGTTTTGCTGCTGCTGCTGCCGTTGCTGCTGTTTACCCGGCGCATCAGCCGCACGTCACATTCGCGAGCGCGTCCAGGAGGAAACGAAGTGAACGGACACCTCGTGTGGCGATACGCGCGCGCCAGAGAGAGAGAGACGGAGGGAGGAAGATAGAAAGAGAAGACAAACGGAGAGTGCGCCTCTCGCAGGACGTATACACCACACAGCACGCTGTCTCGGTCTTCTACGTACTTCGACGGTTCGTTCGTGAACAGACTGACCTCGCGGTTATGGCCACACCAGGGGCAGGTCGCCAGGGTTACAGAAGTGCACAGTAAAGTCTGCGTGTCCCGATTTGCCGGGTTCGTATACCTACGCCTGCCCTGCCGTCGCTACCTTTTCCGTGCGAATCAGTCTCTATACATATATGTGTGTGTATATATATANCACACGCACGCGCATTCTCCTGTTACGCGCGTGCATGTACACAGTGCCATCTCGGCGGCGTAGAGAGACGAGAGATCCTCCATCCGTTTCTCTCTCTCCCTCTCTCCTTGTCCCTCTCCGCCGGCCCTCTAGCCCAGTTCCGGGCACGGCCACTGATCCATCGATAAGGAAGTTTGCTGTCCTCTCTCTCTCGCGGCAGGTTCGTTCGTGCCGGTCGTGCGCGATGCGCGAATCCACGGGATCGAGCATCTCGTTGTCGCATAGTCGGGGTCGAAGCGCAATGTGCCGCCGCCGCTGCTACTATACTACTACTACACTACTACTACTACCGGTCACGTGACTCGGCCTATCCACCGGGCGGGTTGAATTGCCGGCTGTGAAATACAATGAATTACGTAGAAATCAAATGCGAATAGCAATCGCGCGCTTACTCTTATATATTTACATTTCGGCCCGCGCGATTTGGTGGAGGTGGAGAAGAGCGGTGTCTCGTTTCTCTCGCGTCCCGTGACGAACGTCAGGTGTGTCGATCGTCGTCGGGTGGATCGACATATTCTCGATAGAAAAAGGATCGATTCTCCGTGCGGGAGCGGTGTGCGAGTTTGGAAAAAGCGCCGCCGCGCGCGCTCGTCAATGTCACCGGAAAGAAATCACCTCATCGCGATTTATTTGCGAAATAAGTTCGCGCGAGAGAGTGGGAAGAATGAGACGAGTATCGGTTATCGGTTGCGTTAATTTGGTTCTCCCCCGAATCGCATCCTCCTCCGGGCATTCTTAATTTTGCTGCAAGGAGGATCGAGCGAGCGACGACCGCCGCGATGTATCTCGTTCGTCCCTTCCTTCTTCCTCTTCTTCTTCACCTTCGAGTGCGCGAAGCAGCACTCTCGATCCTCTCCTCGTGAATCTCGCGCGCGCGGCCACGCGTTACCTTCCTCTTCGGATCTCATCTCGGATTGTACGTTGCTCCCTGTGTACAATCGAGCTATAAATAAAGTAAAACAGTGTCGGAAGAGAGAGTGCCGTGGCCGAAAATAAACGCGTCGTCAATCCGAATCGAATCACGAAGCGGAGCCGACGGAGGAGAAGCGATAACAAGACGCGCACCGCGTAGCCGACCCGAGAATTCATGAAATTGTGGAACCCGCGGATTTCGCGGCGATTCATCAAAACGCGGAGACTGCGCCCGCGATTCTCTCTCTCTCTCTCTCTCGCTCGCATAACTTCAGTGCATAAACCGACCGACTGCGCGCGCGCACGCGCGATATTCAAACAAACTCAAATCTTCCAGTACGTTCAAGTGTTATCGTCGTCGTCAGTTACAATTCCCTCCGATCACGTACTCACCTTCATTTTCTCCGCCAGCGCGTAATGTTTAAAAAAAAAAAAGAAAATAAAAAACAAGAAGTATACATGTGTGCCGCGAGTTTGATCCGAATACGCGCGAACAAATAGCCGCGACGCGTTCGTAACAACGAGCGAATGAGCGAACAGCGAACGAGCGAGAGAAAAAGGGAGAGAGAGAGAGAGTAGTAGACGCGCGCGTAGGTGTGTAATTTATCGCTACGCGGGACGCTCGACGACGACGTCACAGGCGTGCGCTTGCCGCGGCCGGCCGGAATGACGTAGCGTGTCGTCGCTCTCTTCTCCGGCTTATCGGTGCTGTTAATCGAAGGCGCAGCGCGCGCGCGCCCCCGCCGGTGTTCTCCTCTCTTTCCTCTCTCTCACTCCTTTCCTCCGCGCCGCCGGTCGCCGCGTACGAAAATATGCGTGACACGAGAGCCAGTTAACCGAGGCCAAGCCGCGGAGAGTTCAGAAGCGCAACGTAGTGAGTAAAACTGCCCCCTCGCGGTGCGCGTCCGCGCCTCCCGATCCCCCATGCACTTCTCCGACCGGCCGCGGTGCGCCATCGAGTTCTTACCTCCTACCCCGCGTAGCCTGCGCCACCTAACCTTCCTTCCCTCCCCGTCGTGCCGTCGTCCGCTCGCTCGTTTTACGCCCCCCCCCCC